ATAAGACAATTACTTTGAACAAAAACACAAACATCTTAAGTAGCTGAAGTAAATGCAGGTAGATAGAGATACTTTATATATACAATGCACTGCAATGCAATAGATTTTAGCTGAGTGTACCTCATTTATGAAAAATGAAGGGAAATGCATTATTCCATTAATTTATGAAGACATAAAATTTTGGTGACTGTTTAATTGAAAAATACTTTTCCGTTCTTTTAATGGTTAATTTTTTCAGTTATAATAAAATATTTTTTGTAGTTCAAAATGCTATACTTCATCAATTTTATACGAAATTTCGAAAAGCACATTTTCCACAGTTTTCTGATAGTTTCTGATATTTTCTCAACATAAAATAACGAAAATTCATAAAATTCCGAAGGTTTAACATTTCCTTTCATGTCACAAATATGCAATGTGCAATGGCTTTGGAATTTACATATGTCATATGTTTTTGAAGTATTTTTCATTTATAATTAAGTTTTTTTTCTTTTTGAAATAAATAAAAAAAATATGGTAGAAATAAATTTTCATGTAGAAAACTATACTGTAAAATTGTTCGATATTAAGAGTTCAGAGAAGCTGCAAAAGATGCGATGCTCATCGTTGCTCTACTTTTGCAGATGTAAGTAATTTTCATATAGAAATTTTAGATGAAGTTTTTATAAATGGAAATGAAAGTTCATATTGAACAGATTTCAAAATTAACAATAAATGATAAAGTAATTGAAAATAAATTGAAGTCTTTGAGATATTGTAGACAAAATCTTTTAAAAGAAAACAAAATGGAAATAACAATTTGAATATTACATCATTTTCATGTTTTTTTAATTCAAAATATTTTTAAATATTTTCCATTAAGAAATGGGATTTTTTTATTTCTATGTATAACTTAAGCTTTGGATGTATCTTATGTAGAACAATATATACAAAAACTAGCCTAGGTTAAGTTACTTGATTATTTTTTAGGATTTATTTTTCTACGCAATATATAACAGATATTTACAAAGCGTTAACCATTTTATGGTCTTGATTTTACATCATTGTTTCTCTGACATATGTGAAACAAACTAATCATCCAAGTTAACATATGTTTAGTTTAAGGTTGACTATTTTACTTAAAATATGTTTAACAACTGCCGAAATGTGCCTGAATTGCAAAAATTTACTACAATATTTTTTGTTTCGAGTTTTCTTCAGTTATGAGACTTTTTTTTTTGGTAAATATATCAACCAGAGAATGAGGGGGGAATGAGACTAAGGTACGGAACCTCATCTTTACAATATAATTTATACACATTAAATACACTACAAAAGAAAAAAACAATTATAGTAGTATATACTAGACATATACTAGGGTTGATAGTGTGCCAGATAAATAACTATTGAGGGATTATTGCATAAATAGAAAATCACTTCTGACTTGAGACTTAAGATATGGATAAGTAAAATATCAAATTTTAACAGGACGGTGCAACCCGTACAAAATGTATTGGCTGTTTTTTAACCAAAACAGCGAGATTACTTTCAGGAACCGCAAAATGGATAACCATGTACAGAAGCATTATCATTATAATAATAACACAATACAATATAATATAATATTAGCAGAAAAGAAGCATATTTAGTTTGTTAGAATGTTTATAATGAAGTGAAGTAAAATTAGAGAACTTTATAGGTTTGTATGGTACAGTAAATAGGAAAAGTGATAAAGAATTGCTGACATAGCATACTCCCCCTTAGTCTTTTGTTTAGAACGAATTGATATATTACACTTTACACATTATATTTATTATTTTTATTATACATTAATAAATAAATTTCTGAAGTTTATTGAAAAAAAGTAGGTAATTCGCATGCGTGATAGATTGAAAATTCTTTAATTAAGTGTTCGCTTGGTAGTGAGACTTGTTGTAGATAGACGAGCTCATATTGTTAAATACGTCGTTGTTCTTACCTTTCGTTCCACATTTTGGTATACACAATTTTACACAATCATAACGTAAGTCTAAGTAATGACTTAAGTCGTACTTAATTCAACAACTTTACTAACCTAAATTATAATTAAGTCAATTTTAAAACTTTAATAATGATTGTAAAATAAGTTCCAATATGAATAGTATTTAAAATCGTACTACAGTTCACGATATCTGTTTACAAAATATTTCTTCCTTAGTAAATTGGCTATATGTGCAGAAGTAATTTTATTTAAAAGAGCATTGACTTAGGATCAATAATTAAGGTCTTACTACAATATATGATATCTGTTTACGAAACATTATTCACTCAGTTAATTCTGCTCTATTTGTTAAAGAAATTTTATTTGAAGAGTATGGACTAGGATCATTGAAGGGAACGAGAAAGCTGAATGCGTCACTGGCGGTACCGGTTTATATTACCCTAGAGACGATTAAGAGAACTTGCCGATGACATATGGAAAGCACTGAAGTTATGTGCAACCTCTCACTTCAAAACTCGTCAAAAGAGCCCGCGTGAACACTGTGTTCTTGGTGTGTTCTTCATAATTTTCACTGCAGAAGTTGTGGACAGCTGCAGGAAAAAAAACCATAACACATTTTCTCTGTGAATCCCCGGCTTTGGCGTCTAGAAGATATAGGTTCTTAGGAAGACACTTCTTTGATAGTTTATTAGACTGTTCATCGGTGAAGACGAAAAACCTATTAAATTATCTAAATTCGGTGGAATAAATTTAGTCTCTACTCTACTATACTAGGCTTCTTGCGAGGAATGTGGTAGTAAAACGGCGAAAAATCGGTAATTGAGGTACATGTAAAATATCTAATGGCCTGTCACTGCAACCAACCAACCAACCATGGACTAGGATTGATATATTGATGAAGAGCTCAAACAAGAAATCAGTTAGTTTCTTATCGGATGCTATAAGACTCATGCTGAAGGTAGTGTTTGGGTCATCATTTCTTAAGAACGCTTCTTGAGATGAGTGTTATGGTATTTATATATAGATGTTAAATAAGTTTGTAACGATATACTCAAACTTAATTTTTTTTTACACAAAGTATCTAAGTATAAAATGATTTTTAATATAGATTATATTTTTAGAAGAACAGAATAAAATTTATTTACATAGAATATGCTATTGCATTATAACTCAAGTACATAACAACATGCTAAATTAATACAATTCTATTATTTCATACAATTTGTATTTTTGTATTAATTTTTATGTAACATTTAAAAAAAATTATACAAATTATGAATTATTTTTATGGTAAACGTGTAAAATGACCGAAATTCCACAGCGAGAGAGATAATACTGAAAACTACTTATGAACACAGTTACTAACAGCTGTCTATCTTTAAGGATAATAAACACATCATTTATGTAAATTGATACTATAATTTATACAATTTTTTTTAAATTTTTTAGTTCATATAATTAAATGGCAACACCAAATAAATTCTTTATGTGTGGAAGAGACAAATGACACGGTAAATTATAATTTTGCGAAAATCAAAACAAGTTTGTTCTTTTGAATGTGCTTTTATTTTATCAAACTTGAAATGAGTTTTTAAAATGGGTGTCACCGGAAGTACAAACAAGAATTAAAAGAAATAAATACCCTTAAAACCTGAGAGTTTTCTTTTAGTTTTTGAATCAAAAACTTTCGTTATTTTTTACTTAAAGGGGGAAGCACTTTATTAACATTAATAAATGATTTCATATAATTAAAATATTTGTTCTTTTTGGTGTTTTATACATATGTATATATATATATTCAAAATATATTAAATATACAATATAACCAACCAAAAGTCAGTCTTGATGAGCTCAAGCAGAATTAAGTAAATATTTACAATTTTCAAGCAATAAAATACTTATTAACACCTTTTGTTTGCACTTCAGAATTGTATATTTTCGTAAAAATCGTTTTCTTATCAGATTAGTCACAATTCTAAAAAATTACATACTCATCGACACAAAAACGCACAACAGTTGACAACAAAATTAATAATTCCATGGCAAGGATAATTATTCCTTCTTTAATAAAAAAAAAAAATATGGCAGCACTTCACGTATTAACATTGCTGCACTTTTATTGCGCTTAGCGTCATTAATGCAGCCGTCAGGTAAATTCACAAAAAATAATGAAGACAGCAAGAGTTTTATCAACAATAATTCTTGTTGTTGTTGTTGTGTTGAGTAATTCCCAGAATTTTTGTGAGTAATGGCAATACTTTTTTAAAAATTTATATAGCACATGTTTCATTTCACATTTTATATAAAATAAATGAATTAATTAGATTAACTAAAGTTTTGTAGAAAAAAAAATAAATAACAAACTTAAATGGACGCACCCAAAAGCAACAATTTCACCTCTGATGCGGCGCGTTCACCCTCTGCTCGCAGCGCACGATCTATACTTTTCGAACGTTCCACTGCTTCTTTATCTCGCGCTGTACTCACTGCGCAACCCATTTTTGTTAATAACTAATTTTTGTGTTTTAAAACTCACAACTTCGTTTATTTTCAATACAAAATAATATATTATTTTATTGATTTAAATGCGTGCGAATTCTAAACAAACAAGTTTATTTGCTTAGAACGTTGCGTCTGCGCGTCTTTTTTTATTCAGATCTCACACAAATTT